TAATTATTTTTATTATAATTAATTTTCTAAGATACATTTTAAGTATCCATTATGAGAAAGAGTTTTAGATATAAATTTCTCTACAAATTATTTTTTAAAAATATAAACATTTAAATTCTACTGAATATTTATAGACGGTGCAATCGAACGAAGTGGATCGGTGAAGGAAAGCGACATTGACCCCTATGTGAGATCCAAATCCGTCAAGGATGTTTTAGCACAAAGCAGCGGAAACGCTATACTGCCCTGTCGATTCAACAGTCCCGGAATAGTAAGTACATATACATAGCCGACGACGCGCAAATATGTACATTTAATATGGATATACGCGCCTAAAAGCGCGCGTATATGGGCATCATACGATGTAGTACGTGTACATGCATTATACGCGGCCGATAGGCATGGAGGAAATTTAGCATGTGTTTAGCAGTATTACATGCACACAGAACTATACGCGACATATGTATATTTATGCCTATTATGAGATGCGCCTGATCACCTTAGTACGTAGAATCTGTAAATAGATACGACAACTTGTACATTACCGCACAAAAATAAAATTGTTAAAATGCTAATTATGAATGCACAATTATAACTTAAAGGCAATCGTTTTGCCAGTATAACGTAATTACAATTTAAAAAAATTTGATTTGTTATTTATACAGATATATTAAATGACAGATTTTATTAAGTTAAAAAATATCACCTATAATATTTAAATAATACATATATTATTATTTATCACTTATTAAATATACTATGATATAAATATATATCATTTGACATTTTTATTCTATGAGAATTTTACATATATTGAACGATTCAATTATCTATTCTAATACAATTACGTAATACTAGTGTCACTATGTGGTTTCTTACGAAAATAATTTTGACCAAATTAAATCTTGCGTTGATTACATGAGAATTAATTCATATACAGAATTCTATAATTCTGCGCGATTTCTGTTTTCAAGTTTCTTTAAAACATCTCGTTTGTGCCATATGACTTTCGTCATACACCGAAAGAAATATGTAAAATATGTGAAATTTTCACGTGCAATTTCGTTTCTCTCAGCACGGAGTACAAAATAGTTGCCAGTAGGGAGGAAACCTAGAGTTTTCAGCGAGTCAACCGCTCATGGTTGACGCTCCTGCAACATTAATGCCACGAAATTGCATCCCGATCTCCCTTTCTTCCACTTCGCCTCATTCAGTCCTCACGATGACTTGATAAAGAGAATCGGATCGATTATACATACTGAACTGCAATAATGGCGTAACCTTGAAAACGGATTACGTTAGGGTCTTCATAAGATCAATCTATTATCGATGATAGCAATATGAGCAATATTATTAAATAATAAAAGATCTTGCAAGATTGTCAATGTAAAATGTGTAATAAAATAATTTATAATAGAAATTAAAAATTTGATTCAATCAGTTTTTTTCACGAAGAAACTTTATCAAAGGTCTTTAATTATTTATAAGTCAGAAATCTTGAACAAACAATATTGCTCTCAATTAAATTCCTCCAATATCTATGAATAAAAAAAGAAACGTGATGTTTTTAAGTCTCTTTGTATAGCGCGTCATTAAAGTGCTTTGACAAACTTGAAAAAATAAATTTTGAACAAAGTATATAATAAAAAATATAAACCATTATTGCATCTGCTTACAATGTTTATATTAAAATATATCGAAATATATTGTTATATAAAAATACGCGATAGAGAGAGAATTTTTTACGATAAAGAATGATCCATCATACTAAACAATTGATGATATAACCCAATTAATCTCAATCCATTTCCTTACGCTATTTGCGACTGCGGACAATTAGGGAGGATGAATTTAATGATAATCATCATCGCATCAACAGAAATGTCGCTGTGTAATTGTCAGTGCGACCACTGCCGACCAATTTCAATTAGATCTGTCTACATGGTAAACTCAACAGCGATGTCGATCCAACGGTGGTTAGCCGTTTGTCAGAGACCATCAAACTAACGCGGTCGCAAAAAAAAAAATCTGAATTAATTTTCTCTGCTTCTCTGACGATGAGTGCACACTCGACATTGTTCCGGCAAAATAACGCGAAGCAATTAATACAATCAGAATTTTTTCGAAAGTTAAAAATCAGACTGATCGCGTTTATCCGAGACGAGAGTAAATGATTGAAGAGAGTACGCGTGCAATTTGTAATCTCTCCTCCGTTTATCTGCCGGACAAGGATAAATTACTGTGGTAATCAATTTTGCTTGAAAAGGCCCGATATCATACACACATCGCAACAAATTAATGAGATTGCCGCGTCGAAATTCGCTGGCAATCCACGCGCAAAACGTAGTATGTAATAACTTTCGATTAAAACTTGTTAAATTGGCAAGAAATAGACCTCGGTTATCGAATGGTATTATTGAATCGTTAACATTTTGCCAATAATCTCTCGTAAAATCATTTCTATTATTCATTTGTCTGTATTTTATTAATATATAAGGAAAAAGATGATATCAAATTTTATTTTGCTTTTAATATCCTACAAATTTCCAATATTAGTGAATGTGTTAATAATATATTAAATAAAAAAAATTTAATAATATACTGCGCAGTGAAATTAAAAATAGAGACATAAGAGATAATTTTGTGAAGATTTTATTTTAACAGAGAAAAAAGTTCGGAAAAATACTTTGTGTGTACAATATAATATGAGTCTGATAATTTAAAGCATAGCAAAAAAATATAAAACTATAATAAATATTTAAAAAAAAGAAATTAACTAATTTTCCAATCAAAACAATAAAAAGATCTTATTATAAAATAAAATTTATTTTGTTACCTCGTATGTGTCTTATACCATAGGTGTGTAATTTATTATCACTAATCTCGATTTACGTGTCTCACACGTTGAAACCCCAGACCGTATAGTCGCGTGATCGATAGAGCACGACAAAAAGCTAACAAGAACGGAATGAAAAGTAGATACCACTGGAACGACAATGCCATTCCTGCGGTCTTTGAAGTGCCAAATTCTGCCACTTCATTCGGCGCTAGCGAGGAAATTGCATGAGAGAATTGCATTTCCTTTGTCCTTTAAACCGGAGAGTATCGCGGGTTACCTTTGACCTGTCGTTGACCATTACCATTCAAACATAGGATACGTTCAATTGAATGCTCGCTCCTGCTCATTGTTGTAGCAAGTTCCACGTGGTCGACATATTATGATCTATATGCGTTATGATTATTAGATATGCGTAAGACTTTTAGCAGCTCTTCTTTTTTTTATTTTACGCTGCTGCATAGGAAATAAAAATAATTGAAATTTATATATTCTACCATTCGCATTAAAAAATTAAAAGCTAAATAGGGCTTTCGTTTTATAGTGTTCCGTTTAAGTAAAAATATTATTTTACTTTATTATTATCTAGCAACATTTTTATTGCGAGTTCTCTATATTACTGTCATATTTGAGATATAAAGCAAAAAATGTCAGCTTCTTTTTTTATAATATCAGGGTTTTAATAAAATTCTTGACCGAGAAATGATTAAAAATAATGTAAATGGAAATAATTAAAAAGAACATTTTATTTTTATAGAATATGAATGACTTACTTTTTTTAAATAGCAGGATATCTCAATAAAAATATTAAAAATTCAAAAAGTATAAAGAATAAAAATTTATAATAAAGCTTTGAAGAAAAATCATATCATTCTCAAATTATGTATCTTCATTTCTACGCTATCTATTCTAAATTTATTAATTAGCGAAAATTTGTATAAAAAGAATATTTTTTTTAAATAAATATATTATTCAAATAAGCTTCTTTACAAACCAATTACAATAACAATATAAAAATATCTATTTCACATAAAATATTTAAATTTTTTAAGCAATTAAACAATCTATATCTAATCCTGATGTCAAATGTATCAACGTATGCATATCACTTAAATCGCATTGGACATCTTCCAGTCGGATATCGGTGTTGCATCGTTCGTCAAACTACCAATTGTAAGCCAGAAATGATCCAATTACAGATGAGAACGACGAATAAATTGCATGCGGACATGGAAGCAGCTTTACACTCGACGGCGACAGTCACTGATATAATTACAGTTTAAGCTTCGCTTCCATCACCGACTATTAGTACGTGCGAACGGAATCTAGAGTTGCTTTCTAATGCAAGCGCCAGATCCGGCACAGACCAGTCGAATCGAATTAAGCGTAATTCTTGACAATTTGTCAGCGCGTTAATTTATAACCACGATGAAATTACCAGTGCAAGTGTCCCTCTTCATTTGACTAATACTTTCCATACCATTTCATATTTACGTAATTTATTTAAAGAAAGGAATAAATTATATACGTTAAAAATCGATTAATCATTGTAAAATTAAAATATTCTAGAGGAGACAGGCAAATTTCAACCACACTCAAAAAAATGTCTTGCTGATATAGGTAGATTTCTAGATGACACAACAAAAATTTATCGCTATTTTTTGTATCTGTTAGAATATTGTCTGTTACATATAGAATTTATAGCAGCAATATTCTAATAATATCTTCTAGAAAATTTAGGTCCCATTGCCAAATGTTAATCACTGCATTGGATAAATATGAGTTTCGATACTACAGCTAAACGATCTTTGTGAGAAATATAATTGCCAATTATAACTGCAGCATCGAAAAATTGAGAAAAATTGTTTAAAAGAGCTAGATAGATTGAGCGCGTTATACAAATATGTTAGACGTGAGGATTATATATTCATTTGTTTCTTGCCGCTAATCTTTTCTGTATACCACAGCCAAACTTTATAACAAGTATGATTGGCCTTAACATGGATAGGCGCCACAGAAAAACATTCTTTCTAAATTTCACAAACAGTTCAGATATAAATTCTGTCTCTGTCACTTAGATTGATTAAATGCGAAACATATGCGATATCACAGTATTTGCTAATCATTTATGTACCTCAGTTAATTTTGCGCACCCAGAAAATTTTTGCTGTAGTTGCAAAACCACTTTTTGAGTGGAATCAACATAGATTACACGAAGAAAGGAAGTAGTAAGATTAAAGTCGTATAATATACAGAATGTTCTAAAGTTTTCGCATAGTTCTAAGAAGCGTTTCTTATCGATTTGAAATCGATTAACAAAAATCTCATGTTATTAAATTAAAGACTTATCGGCTCATTTTGAGCGAACATTTAACACGAAAGTTTTACATAAAGCCCGAAAAGAAATATCTTTTTTAGATATAAATTTATGAAAT